TAGCCTGAGGAGGGACACGAAAGGGACTGCAAGATACCCAGAGAGTTTAGCCTGGCAACACTGGGTGAAATGGCCAGGAGGGAAGAGGACTCAACCTTGCTGAAGGTGGCCATGAGGATGGAAACTTTTTGAGAACAGATATAGGAAATAATGGCAAAAGAGGAACTCTTTGGTTTGTTGGCAGTAGAGAAGTGAATCAGGTGCATGACAGGGAAAATTCTCTTCTTCCTCTTCAGTAAGTAGCATTTATTGCCCTGAAACCACCCACTGGATACCGTAAGGAAGAGGAGGAGAAGGAAAAGGGGATCTTCACTGAGGAGGAACAGAACCAAGTCTTCGTATAAGCCACAGTAGAAAGCAATGGGGAATAGAGTTTTTTTTTTTTCTGTCTTTTTAATGAGGAATTTGTCTTGTGGTTTCAGTATGAAATTCATGGGTACAGTGATTTGTTTTGTTCACCTTTCTCTGTTTTCTTTGGGGAAATGGTGATACACTTTGTCAGTGATCCTAGCTGAATCACTTATGATATTAGATAATTTACTCATTTGCACAATGAATTATATTACAGTTGACTCTTGAATAACTTGGGTTAGGTGTGGCAATCCCCCATGCCGTAAAAAAACCTATGTTTAATATTTGAATCCCCCAAAACTTTATTAATAGCCTACTGTTGACCAGAAGCCTTACTGATAACATGAACAGTCAACTAACACACATTTTACATGTTATATGTATTATATACTGTATTCTTACAATAAAGTAAACCAGAGAAAAGAAAATGTTATTAAGAAAATCAAAGCTGGGCACAGTGGCTCACACCTGTAATCCCAGCACTTTGGCAGGCCAGGATGGGAGGATTGTTTGAAGCCAGCCTGGGCAATATAGCAAGACTCTGTCTCTACAAAAAATTAAAAAATTAGGCAGGTGTTGTCGTGCATACCTGTTGTCCCAGCCTCTCTGGAAACTGATATAGGAGGATTGCTTGAACTCAAGAGTTCAAGGCTGCGGTGAGCTATGTTTGTACTACTGTTGTCCAGCCTGGGTGACAGAGTGAGATCCCGTCAAAAGGAAGGAAAGGAACGAAGGAAGGGAGGGAAGGAGGAAGGGAGGGAGGGAGGGAGGGAGGGAGAGAGAGAGAGAGAGAGAAGATAGAGAAAGGAGAGAGGGGAGAGGGGAGAGGGAAGGAAGGAAGGAATAATCAGAAGGATGAGAAAATATATTTATTATTCATTAAGTGGAAGTAGATTGTCATAGAAGTCTTCATCCTCTTCATCTTCATGCTTAATAGGCTGAGGAGGAAGAGAAGGGGCTGGTCTTCCTATCTCAGGGGTAGAAGAAAATCCTGGTAAAAGTGGACCTGCACAGCTGAAACCCATGCTCTTCAAAAGTCAGCTGTATTCATTTGTGATGATACTCATTTATTAAGCCAAACACTTTCACTTCATTATTATGATATTATTTATCAAATTAATCATTGTGAAATTATATTATTGATGAAATCAAATACTTTAAAAGAATATGTGTGGGTTAAATTAAATGAGTTGAAGTGATATGGCCCAGAGAAACAAAAGGTGAACTATAGGAAATTAATGAAAACTTAGATTTAAATATGTAGCTTTAGATTTGTCAATAGCAAAAATATTAAAAATATTCAGTCTGGGTGCAGTAGCTCACACGTATAATCCAAGCACCTTGGGAGGCCAAAGTGGGAGAACTGCTTGAAGCCAGGAGTTCAAGACCAGCTGGGGCAACATAGTGAAATTCCTTATCTATGAAGAAATAAAAAAAAATAAGCCAGGTATCTTGATGTGCACCTGAACTCCCAGCTACTTAGGAGGCTGAGGCAGGAGGATTTTGTGAGCCTCTAGAAGTTCAAGGCTGCAGTGAGCTATGATTGTGCCACTGAATTCCAGCCTTGGTGACAGTGTAAGACCCCGTCTTAAATAAATAAACTTCAGATACAATAGAAACAGTTGTTAGAGATTAAAGAGACATGGTAGTAGTTCTCTAGTCCTCTGTGATCAGATTTATAAATATGTTATAAATATGTGATATTTATAAATAAATATCACACACAATATGTTAATAAGGTATGATATAAACAGGCCCTCCAGAGAGGAATGGACACCCCAGAAAATAGCTTCCTGATCACCTTTGCTGTTTTTCTTAATTCTTATTTTTCAAGAAATTACATGACAAACAGCAGCCTATAGGAATATGCTATTTCCCTAGCCTGTGCAATATGGTGAAACCCTGTCTCTACAAAAAATATACAAAAAGTAGTCAGATGTGGTGGCATGTAACTGTAGTCCCAGCTGGCTGGGAGGCTGAGGTGAGAGGATCGCTTGAGTCTGGGAAGTCAAGGCTGCAGTGAGTCATGATCACGCCATTGCACTCCAGCTTGGGTGACAGAGTAAGACCCTGTCTACCAAAAAAAAAGCCATTTCCTTGAATTCTAGGATTCACAGTTTTTCTTTTCTATGTCAATTTAATGTACCACTTAAAGAGGGCTGAAGCTGAGGTGGCAGAACAGAGATAGGAAACGTTGCTTAGTGAGTTGCTTATTCTGCATCTAGAAGGTGAGGGAACCTTGAAGATTCCCTTACTGGTCTTCTCATTCAGTCCACCCGAGCTGGCACCTGCCACCCTAGCTCATACAGTCAGACAGAAGTGAGGGTTTAGTCAGGCTTGCTGCTGGTTTGGACCCAATTAAAGTAGAATTTCTAATTCCTGGTAGCTGTTGTTAAAAGCTCGCAGGGAGATAAGAAGAGGGGAGGAAAATTCCTAGCTAAAAGCAGGAGAGGTGGTTTTTATTTTACTCAGCAGACTCAGCTGAGCCATCGGGTCACAGGAGGGATGGGGATAGAGGGACACCTAGTTTTAAGTCTTATTATGGAAAAGATTGAACTATCAACTGTGCTTGATGGAAATGAGACCAGGAGAGGTGGCAACAGTGTCGCTAACAGCACTGCCTCCCTTATTGCATTATCAGAAGAGAAAGATAACCTGCAAATAGGCATCCATTATCTCTTTCTACAAAGGGATTAGTGTGGGTTGCAAGAAATTAATGGCTTTTGAGTTACCACAGAAATACTAATGAATGTCAGGACCAGAGATGTAAAGCAGATGAAACTGGCTTTTCTCAGCCTCATTTCTCTCCTTTTCTTTTTTGGTTTGCTATTTTAAGATCTAGATCTGTATTACTCTTTTTTTCGTTAGCCAAAAGCAGATATCATACCCTTTGGCAGTATGATTTATCTTCTTTAGGGAATGACTCAATTACTTTATGACTATCTCCAATGTGTGTGGGCAAAGAGATGGAGAAAAATCTCTACCAGGGAAGAGATTGACATCTCCTACATGGATGTCATTTTCATGTCTGATAAAAATGTCCAGAAATCTCTCAAGTGATAGTCCTCTTTTATTAAGAACTAAGCTAGTATATATTGCAGCTAATCATTGATTACAGATGACATCACTAGAGGGGAAGGGAGAAAAGAAGATAGGAGGGGAATTATACCTATTATTTGCTGAGCATTGTGCTAGGTGCTTTATTTATTTTTAATTCAGCTAGTACACCTATTATGTACAAGGCAATGTTCAATGTGCTGTGGTCTAAGAATGAAAAGAGAGACCTTACCCTTGCCCTCAGTGGAGCTGATTTGTCCAGCAGGAAAGACAGCCTTAAAAAACAACAACAAAAACTGTAAGACTTATTTTACTTGTTCAGACATGTAAATAAGCTATTATAATACAGCCTGACAAGGGCCCATGATAGAAGAATGATTCAGTAGCAATACCTGATACTGCCTCAGGCATGCATGCATGTGTGTAGGCGATGTTGGGAGAATCAGGACAGACTCTCTTTCTGAAAGAGGGTAAGTGTACAGTTGCTGATTGAAGCCTTTGCAAAGAACACTGCAAGCTCAGGGGACAGCATCCATACAGTCAGGCTCAGAGAGAAAACTGCATCTAAGCAGAGACCTAAAAAGTGAGCTAGTTGGGTCAAGCCTGGAACTAACTACCCTGTGTAGTTAACTCTGGTTAACTACACAGAAAGCCCATGAACTGGCCTTGAGGGCTGCAGAAGGTATCTGAGAAATGAGTTTGTGAGCAGCACATTTTATGCTCTCTCCTATCTATTGACCCTGCCTCGCTTTACCAACCTGATGAAAGATAAGAGTATTAGCAGGGAGCTAGGTCCAGTGGCAGAAGGCATGTTCTCTCTTGTGTATCTGGTACTGTTCGGTTGCTGCAAAAGTTATTGCAGTTTTTATCATTAATGGTAAAAACTGCAGTAGCTTTTGCAGCAACCTAATAGAATGTTACCCAGAAAACATGGAACCCTGGCAAAGTGTGATTGGTTCCTAGATTCACAAGGCATAGCTAGTCACAGTTATTCCAGTATTTCTGTTTTCCACATAGACCTCTGCATGTCACATTGTTGTTGCATGCTCCATGCCACATACTTACTCCTGTACTTGTGATTCCACCCTAGTTCAAGTTTTTATTTTTATTTATTTTTAAGGCAGGGTCTTGCGTTTCACTCAGGCTAGAGTGCAGTGGCATGATTACAGCTCACTGCAGCCCCAACCTCCAGGCTGAAGCGATCCTCTTTCCTCAGCCTCCTTAGTAGCTAGGACTACAGGCATGTGCCACCACACCCAACTAATTTTTAAAACTTTTGTAAAGATGGGCTCTCACTATGTTACCTAGGCTGGTCTCGAACTCCTGGGTTCAAGCAATTCCCCCCTAACTTGGCCTCCCCGAATGCTGGGATTAGAAGCATGCGCCACCACACCTAGCCTCCTAGTTAAAGTTTTTAGAATTGAGATTTCCCCAGCTACTTTTTGCCAGTTAGGTACCATCTTGGGATTTTACTACTTTTACTTTGTTTAATTTGAACCGGAAGACTGTCAATCCCTGATCTGTTTGGTTTCTTGTGCCTGCCTTCTTATAACTAATTCTAATGAATACTTTGCCTCTCTTTTTCTTTCTAGAACATAAGCAGACATTCCCAAACATCCTAAAGAAGGGTTACCTGGAGATTAGAAAGGACCATGACAGTTACTGGCAAAGCTGTTATGCAGAACTTTCACCTTACAACTTATACTTCTACAGCCTCGACAGTAGTGGGAATCAAAACCTCTATGCCACGTACCAGCTTTCACACTTCCAGACCATATCTGTTTTAGGCAACCTGGAGGCCAGGATGGTGGATACAGTTCTATATGACAACACTCAGCTACAGCTAAAGGCAGAGTCACCATGGGAGGCTTTGGACTGGGGGCAGAAGCTTTGGGAAGTCGTGCATGCTGCTGTGCCTGGTTACATGGGGCGGCAGAATGAGCTGAGAATCTCACCAGGGCTTGGCCATCATGATGACTATACACAGAATCATTGTTTACAGAAGAAAGCCAGTGGGCTGCTGCCACCGTCCCCTGTCCTGGATAGCCCCAAACAGTACCAAAACATCCTCAAATCAGGGACTCTCTACAGGCTGACTGTCCAGAACAACTGGAAGGCATTTACATTTGTGCTGAGCAGGGCCTACCTTATGGCTTTTCAGCCTGGCAAGCTAGACGAGGATCCACTGTTGAGCTACAATGTGGACGTGTGTCTGGCTGTCCAGATAGACAACCTGGATGGCTGTGACTCTTGCTTTCAAGTCATTTTTCCCCAGGATGTCCTTCGCCTCCGAGCCGAGACCCGGCAGAGGGCTCAGGAATGGATGGAGGCTCTGAAGACAGCTGCCAATACAGTGAGGAGTTCAGAGCAAAACCTGCAAGTCACACTGAGGAGCAAACCCAAGGATCAAATGGGTGGGCATGAACTCAGGAAGAGCAAACGCCAGTCTGTGACTACCAGCTTCCTGAGCATTTTGACGACTTTGTCTTTGGAACGAGGACTTACTGCTCAGAGTTTCAAATGTGCAGGTATGAAGCAGATTTTCAGCCTAAAGCTCATTAAAGAATAATCCTGAACCCCACAATTGGAATTCACTTTAAAAATCCGCCCCCCCCCTTTTTTTTGAGATGGAGTTTCGCTCTTATTACCCGGGCTGGAGTGCAATGGCGCAATCTCGGCTCACGGCAACCTCCGCCTCCTGGGTTCAGGCAATTCTCCTGCCTCAGCCTCCTGAGTAGCTGGGATTACAGGCATGCGCCACTATGCCCAGCTAATTTTTTGTATTTTTAGCAGAGACGGGATTTCACCATGTTGACCAGGTCTTGATCTCTTGACCTCGTGATCCACCCACCTTGGCCTCCCAAAGGGCTGGGATTACAGGCTTGAGCCACCGCGCCCGGCCGTAAAAAAATCCCCTTAATGGGCTAGTCACAGCTACCTCCTGTTTATAAAAAACATCTCTCGAGGAGCTCACTATATTAAACATCCACTCTCCTTATCCCATGTTGTTGGAGTAAATAGAACCAGCTATGATATACCCTGTTAAATCAAAACAACTTGGCTAAAGCCTAACCAGACTAGAATTTAGGCTTCCTGAGTCGGCTGTGATTCCGTTCCTTCTGCCTTCTTGAATAAAGGTCACTATGAATATGGATGCTACAAATTATCTCATAAGAGACATTCAAGTCCAAAGCTGACTACTTAACACTCCTTAGGCAAGGAAAATGGCCACAGTCAGTAACTGTCATTGATCTTGACCTTGTCAAATCCTCTTAAGGTGAAATTTAGAAAATCAATCTTGACAGAAAATGTGGAGGTGGCTAAAAGCATCATCTACCGATGATGATTCAGCAGATGACCGCTGAGTCACAATGGGCCTGTGCCTGTTGTAGGGAAGTTCAGGGCTTCTGGAATTGCTGTGTAAGGATGAGATGCAAAGTGGAATTTGAGGTCAACAATCTTATTTTGTAAAAGGTTATTACTGCATCCTCCCTCTACTCCCCATTCCACCTTTCTAAAAACAGTAAAATTAAAAGGAAAAAAATTGTGCCAGGCACAGTGGCTAATGCCTGAAATCCCAGCACTGTGGGAGGCCAAGGTAGGTGGATCACTTGAGGTCAGGAGTTCAAGACTAGCCTAGCCAACATGGTGAAACCCCATCTCTACTAAAAATGCAGAAATTCACCAGGCGTGTGATACATGCTTGTAATCCCAGCTACTTGGGAGGCTGAGATAGGTGAATCACTTGAACCCAGGAGGCAGAGGTTGCAGTGAGCCAGGATTGAGATCATGCCACTGCACTCCAGCCTGGGCAACAGAGTGTGATTCCATTTTTTTTTTTTTTAAAGGTTTTAAAACCTCACTAAGGCCAGGCATGGTGGCTCACACCTATAATCCCAGCACTTTGGGAGGTTGAGACAGGTAGATCATAATATCAGGAGTTCAAGACTAGCCTGGCCAAAATGATGACACCCCATCTCTACTAAAAGTACAAAAAATTAGCCAGGTGTGGTGGTGGGCGCATATAATCCCAACTACTCGGTCGGCTGAGGCAGAATTGCTTGAACCTGGGAGGCAGAAGTGGCAGTGAGCCATGATCGCACCACTGCACTCCAGCCTGGGTGACAGAGTGAGACTCTATCTCAAAACAACAAAACAAAACAAAACAAAAAACCCTCACTGAACCCAATCTAGCTATCTATCATAAACTAAATCAAATGATTTTCCTTTCATTAAACTCCACAATTTGTGACACTAAATGTATCATGAGAATGACTTTAAAGGGAAACCTGATTTGGAAGGTTTTAATTCAAGTCTATTAGATTTAAGTATGTTGTTAAAAATGAACAAGAAGCTCACCACCAGCCAAAACCACATTTGAAATTTTGTTCTTGCTCCTGCATTGAAAAAAGCCAAATAGGGGTGGCATATTGAAAACCCACATTTTGAACTTAGGTTAGTTATGATGCTGGTCTTTTCTATTGGAAAATAAATGACCCAATGTGAGGACTGAGTGAATCATCCTTGCTTTGACCCAAGGGCCTCAGTGACTGTGGACCAGAAACTTGCAGGATGGGATTGGAGAGATCAGAGACACTGAGCCAGTTAAGAAGCTCTACTAGGTTATATGTATGTATCTACAGGTGTGAAAAACCTGCGTTAAGTCACCCAGTACTTTTGGAAAATGGTTTTGAAATAAGGAGATACTAGTTTTAGCAGTTTTTTTAAACAATAGAAATCACTGACATCTCAGTGTCTTATACTAGTACATACAGTTTTAAGTTCAGGCATTCAATAATAATTTACTGTGTGCTTACTCTGGTCATCCTGGAATTACGGTACACTTCCATGGCTTTAGATTCCAGATGTGCTCAGCAAATCTGTTGCATTATTGGAGTAAGGAAGAATAGCTCAGCTTAGTTCTCAAGATGTAGAGATTGGAGTAGCTGAATCAAGAAACTTTCTAGTAAAAGAGGGAAGAAAAGCCTCATATTTCACAAGAGGTATTGCCTAATTCTCCTTCCTCTCAGAAGTTTGCCTTCTGATGGAGTGTGCATTGCCCATGCTCTGGCTGCATTCATGGCATTTCTGACACTCATGAGGAAGGAGAAATGTAGGTAGAGGGTACCATGCAGCAAGCTCATCACATCCAGCAGCTGGAGAAATGAAATCAGGAAAAAAAAAGGTGAGCAAAAGACGGGGTCGGAAGCTGAGTAGAAAACAGGAGGAAACATTATATAAGGGGCAGGAATAGAGCTTCCTGGCAGCTGCCTTAGTTAGGTTCCATATGATAGGATACCTCCCTTTGCTGTCTAAATTTTGTGCTCACTAAGGCTGGTGGAGGATAGGTTTGGTAAATATAGTAGTAGGGAATCGGGAGAAAGGCAGTCTAAAATTCCTTTGCACTACTCAACTTTTACCTTTGTGCTTTGGTTCGGAGTTCTAATGAATGGGGCAGAGAGAAACAGGTTTCTAATTTGGGACAGGGAGAAGTCAGTCTTAATTTATATGTTGTGGCCCATTACAAAAAAAAAGAAAAGCTGTTTCATTTATATACCCCTTCTTCTCTCAGAAAGTGCTACATTCACTTGCTTTGTGATACTTGTGGTTTACCAGGTTGTTTTTCAAAGCAGCACTTAAAGTCCTGTTTTTCTTTCCTTCCTTTTTTTTTTGAGATGGAGTTATGCTCTTGTTGCCCAGGCTGGAGTGCAATGGCGATTTCAGCTCATCACAACCTCTGCCTCCCGGGTTCAAGTGATTCTCCTGCTTCAGCCTCCTGAGTAGCTGGGATTACAGACATGCGCCACCACACCTGGCTAATTTTGTATTTTTAGTAGAGACAGGGTTTCTCCATGTTGGTCAGGCTGGTCTCGAACTCCCAACCTCAGGTGATCCGCCCACCTCAGCCTCCCAAAATGCTGGGATTACAGGCGTGGGCCACCGCACCCAGTTGAAGTCTGGTTTTCTAGGTTAGAGTACTTTATTTCGTGATCTCCTGTAGGGGGCAGAGTCTCAAAAGAAAAAGGCAAAAATCTGTTAAGCAAACTTCTGAATGTTTTTTAAATTACCTGGGAGACTGTTCATTAAATCAGAGATTATTATAGCAGATGGAACGTTAAAAATTGATCTGTGTTTCTCACAAACACTGTTAATCTAAACCAGCTGCTTCTTCCTTTTGTACCTATGTCTTCTAACTTTGCATTCTCATAAAAACACACCTTCAGTGAAAAAGCTGGTGGCATAGTATGTTGACCTTTCAAAATGCCAAAAACTTCAGCACATTGTTTTTAATGAGTTTTGGCTTTATATATTATTTTAAGAAGAGGCTAATTCACTGTATTTCATGCTTTTAGTGTGCCCCTGTATATTATAAGTTTTTATGTCTACTTAGTTCTTCCCCCTTTAAATAGTTTGGATGAATAAACTTTAAAAGTGAAAGATTGCACAGAGTAGCTCTTTATTATGATGTCATTTACTTGCTATTCGGGGGAGCCACAAATGTTGGCTTTTAAATTTACAAAATAGTGCAATTGGCCTTGTCTCATTAAATTCTTTCTGTAAATGAAGAATTTTCTATATCCTTCTTAAAACTTAAACCTGCAGAAAAAATGGACCATGGTTATCCAAAAATGCCTGAGGTTATGGTTTTTAAAATGTATACTGATGCATAACTGTGTATTTCTTAAATGTGTGCTTGATTTTGATAGTTGTATAGGATTATGTGTGTCTATTCCATGACTTCCTCTGCAGCTCCAGGGAAGCCCCAGCCATGGTGGTCTTTTTTTTTTTTTTCCAACCTCCACCTTCCAGGTGCAAGTGATTCTCCTGCCTTAGCCTCTTGAGTAGCTGGAATTACAGGCGCATGCCACCACGCCTGGCTAATTTTTGCATTTTTAGTAGAGATAGGTTTTGACCATGTTTGTCATCTGGTCTCGAACTCCCAACCTTGTGATCTGCCCGCCTTGGCCGCCCAGAGTGCTGGGATTACAGGTGTAAGCCACCGTGCCCAGCCTCATAGTGGTCTTCTTGCTGTTCCTGGAACCTACTATGATTATGCCAACCTCTAGGAGCCTTACACTTGCTAGTTCTACTTCCGGAAATTTTGAAATTTGAAAACTTAGTTCTTCCATTCATTCTATCATTTATTGTGTACCCAGAAACTTGAGTGTTTCTTTTTTTTTTTTTTGACCCTAGATGGGTCAGTGCTACAGAAGGGCAGACATGGTCCTTGCCCTCATGAAATTTGCAGTCCACTAGGGAAGACAAGAAACAAATCAAATAATCACATCAGTGAACGTCAAAAGACAGCTGTGACAATTGCTACAGATGTGAGGCCTATGCATTGGGTTAGAGAACTCTCAGAGATGGTGCCAGGTAGAACTATGTGAAATTACAGATTTTCAGTCATTTTTGACCTATAAAAATAAAGACAGTTCAGATTACGTTTCATGTTTGACCCTGAAGTCACAGCAAGTTCTTGAGTGGGAATGGTATTTAAGAACAGTTAATTTGGTGGTACAGCTTTTCA